TGTCTTTCTCTGCTTGGCTTGTTTCTCTTAGGCTAATACTCTCCATGTCATCTCAAAGGATAAGAGATCTTTCTTTCTTACAGCTGCATGGTACTCCATTGTGTATATGTACCACAGCTTTTTCATCCATGTGTCTACTGATGGACACTTGGGCTGAATCCAGATCTTAGCTATTGAAAATAGTGCTGCTACGAACATGGGGGTACATATATTCTTTCTGATTGGTGTTTCGGGCTTCTTAGGATATATTCCTAGAAGTGGGATCATTGGGTCAAATGGAAGTTCAATTTTTAATTTTTTGAGGTAGCACCATAGTGTTTTCCATAGTGGCTGCACCAGTCTGCATTCCCACCAGCAGTGTACTAGAGTTCCCTTTTCTCCACACCCCTGCCAATACTTGTTGTTTGATGCTTTGTTGATGGTGGCCATTCTGACAGGTGTGAGGTGATACCTTATTGTTGTTTTAATGTGCATCTCTCTGATGATTAGTGATGTTGAGAATTTCTTCATATGTCTCTTAGCCATTTGTATATCCTGTTTGGAGAGGTGTCTATTTAGCTCCTCTGCCCATTTTTTAATTGGGTTCTTTGTCTTCCTTTTGTTGAGTTGTATGAGTACTCTATATATTTTGAAAATTAACCCCTTATCTGATGTATCATTGGCAATGATGCTCTCCCATACAGTGGGTTGCCTTTCTATTTTGATGATTTTATCTTTTGCTGTGCAGAAGCTTTTGAGTTTGATGTAGTCCCATGTGTTCATTTTCTCCTTTGTTTCTGTTGCCTTATGTAATGTATCAGTGAAAATTCTTCTGCGTATGGTGCCTGAAATTTTGTTGCCTACATTGTCTTCTATGATTTTTATGGGTGCACGGGTCACATTCAAGTCTTTTACCATTTTGAGTTTATTCTTGTGTATGGTGTAAGTTGATGGCCTAGTTTCATTTTCTTGCACGTAGCTGTCTAGTTTCCCTAAAACCATTTATTAAAGAGACTATCTTTACTCCATTGTATGCTCTTGCCTCCTTTGTCAAATATTAATTGAGCATAATGTGTTGGGCTTATTTCTGGGTTCTCTGTTCTGTTCCACTGGTCTATATGCTTGTTTTTATACCAGTACCAGGATCCAGTAATACATCAAAAAAATTATTCACCATGATCAAGTGGGATTCATCCCAGGGATGCAAGGCTGGTACAATATTTGAAAATCAGTAAATGTGATACACCACATAAATAAAATGAAGAATAAAACCACAGGATCATATCAATTGATGCTGAAAAAGCATTCGACAAAATCCAGCATCCATTTCTGATAAAAAGCTCAGCAATGTGAGAATAGAGGGATCATATCTTGACATAATAAAGGCCATATATGAAAGACCTACAGCCAACATCATACTCAATGGGCAGAAACTAAAAGCATTTCCCTTAAGAACAGGAACAAGACAGGGATGCCCACTTTCACCACTCTTATTTAACATAGTACTGGAAGTCTTAGCCACAGCAATCAGACATGAAGTAAAAATAAAAGGGGTCCAAATTGGAAAGGAGGAAGTGAAACTGTCCTTATTTGCAGATGACATAATATTATACAGAGAAAACCCTAAAGACTCCATCAAAAATCTACTAAACTTAATAAATGAATTTGGCAAAGTAGCAGGATACAAAATTAATGTTAAGAAATTGATGTCATTCTTATACAGCAATGATGAACTCACAGAAAGAGAAACTAAATAAACAATCCCATTTACCATCACGGCAAAAAAATTAAGATACCTAGGAATAAACTTAATCAAAGAAGTAAAGGACCTATTTGCAGAAAACTAGAGGACATTAAAAAAAGAAATAGAGGAAGATATAAAGAAGTGGAAACACATATCTTGTTCATGGATTGAAAGAATTAACATCATTAAAATGTCCACATTACCAAAAGCAATCTATAGATTCAATGCAATCCCCATCAAAATACCAACGACATATTTCACAGAAATTGAACAAATACTTCAAAAGTTCATATGGAACCAAAAAAGACCCCGTATAGCCACAGTAATCTTGAAAAAGAAGGACAAAGTAAGTGGGATCACAATACCAGATATCAAATTATAATACAAAGCTACTGTAATCAAAACAGCCTGATACAGACAGCAGCTTTTAAAAATACATATATTTTCTCTCTGAGACTTGTTGATTTGAGGATGTAGAACCAGCAGTAAGGAGGGCCAAATGTGTCCAGTGAGAAGGCTTAAGATACACAGGTTTTAAAATGCCTTTCACATTCTTAGAAATATAAATTAGTACATTGATAGTTAACCTGGCTGGGTAGTTAATTTGGTTAGAGCGTTGTCCCAAGATAGCAAGGTTACAGGTTTGATCCCGGTAAGGGCACATGAAAGAATCCACCAATGAATGCATAAATAAGTGGAACAACAAATTGATGATGTTTCACTCTTTGTTTCTTCCTTCCTCTCTCTCTAAAATGAATATATTTTAAAACAATAATAATAGCCCAACCAGTGTTGCTCAGTGGTTGAGCGTCAACTCATGCACCAAGAGGTCACTGGTTCAATTCTTGGTCAGGGCACATGCCCAGGTTGTGGGCCAAATCCCCAGGGGTACATGCAGAAGATGGCTAATCGATGTTCTCTCTCATCAATGTTTCTATCTCTCTCTCCCTCTCCTTTTCTCTTTCTAAAAATCAATTAAGAAAATAATAAACTAATAATAATAAATAAAGTACATTGATAGTTATTTATCAAGCAAGAACCACATGAAGCAGGCAAATTCAGATTACATGGAATGGAATGTACTGTTAATTTAGTACTTATATATTTCAAAAAACACATCTATTTGCTGCTTAGAGGAGTAACAGCAAGAGTCGCTTTCTGGTGTCGATGGTCTTTTCTATCCGTGGACTTCCTGAGACCACCACAGCACCTCACAACTCTTTAATTACTGTCATGAATGAAAACAGCTTTTGGTACAACAAAAAGTGTTGCTTCTGGAATTAGGATAATTTGGAAAGTCCCAGAATTTCAAAGAGAAGAAAGATGAGTGATTACAACATTATTATCCCCAAATAAACACTGAATTAACCTCTTTAGTGGTTTGACCCATTGCCCAAACTCCATATGGCACTGCAGAGAAACATGGCACTAAGTGTGACTTATATGTGCTCAGAGGCACCAGAAATAAAGCAATTATTCTTATGTTTAGTCTGAGATGACAGATGTGTTTTTAAAGAGTATGTTTATTACAGAGATGACTAAAATGTGCAAAACCCAAATTCAATATAAAGAAGATAGAACCCTAGTACAATGTTGGTAGGAATGCATACCGTGTAACCACCATGGAAAACAGTGTGGAACTTCCTCAAAAAATTAAAACTGGAATTGCCTTATGACCAAGTGATTCTACTTATGGGAATATATCTGAAGAAATCTGAAACACTAATTCAAAAGAATATATGCACCCCTATGTTCATTGCAGCATTATTTACAATAGCCAAGATCTGGAAACAACCCAAGTGCCCATCAATAGACAAGTGGATAAAAAAGCGGTGGTACATATACACAATGGAATACTACTTGACTATAAAAAAAGAATTAAATCTTACCTTTTGAGACAGCATGGTTGGATCTAGAGGGTATTATACTAAATTAAATAAGTCAGACAGAGAATGACAAATACCATATGATTTTATTTATATGTGGAAACTAAAGAACAAAATAAATGAACTATAAATAGAAATAGACTCAGATACAGAGAACAGACTGACAGTTGTCAGAGGGGTGGGGGTTTAGAGGGCTGGGTGAAAAGGGTGAAGCAATTAAGAAGTACAAATTGGTAGTTACAGAATAGTCACAGAATGAAAATTACAATATAGAGAATATCATTAATAATATGTGATAACTATGTATAGGGCCAAGTGGGTACTTGGAACATGGGGGAATGGGCGTGGGGAGGAACCACAACTGTAAAGTACAGAATTTTATGCTGTACATCTGAAACTAATACAGAAAATATTCAATGTAAACTGTAATTGAAAAATAAAAATATATAAAGAACTCAGTTAAAAATGAAAATTTCATTAATCCATGTATAAAAAGCTCTAAGTGATACAAAATGATATATAATAATAAAAAGATCAGTAATTACCTTAGCATAAGGCAACGGGATAAGATGGGAAAGGATTATAAAGGCGCTAATACGAAACTTTCCGGAGTAATGGATATAGTCATTATTTTGATTGTGGTGATTGGTGGTGAAATGATGCATAAGTATGTCCAAATTTAGAGTAGTATTCACTTGAAATATGTGCAATTTATTGTTGAACAGTTATACTTACAACGCATAGTTATAACATTGAAAAATTAATATAAAAATTCAAACTGTTTCATTTTCAGAGAATCATTAGAACATGGGGTCATTGGTAAAATATTTTAATAGAAAAATAACATTTTACATTAAAGAAAAGAAAAAGAGGATAGATAGATCAAAGAGGCTGCCATTCCCACCCACCTCAATCCCAGCAACTAAAGTTTCTTTGAGAGAAGTCATTAACTCCCCTGAAGATGTGGCGCAGTCTCTACACGGGTCTGAGGGTCTGACTCTCCCGCCGGGCGCACTGGGGTCACTGGGCGCCCACGGTCCCCCCTCGCAAGCAGCAGCTCCTGCGTAGCAGCGACTCACTCCAGCTTTGGGGATTTGGGCTGAAAGTGAACGTCACAGTCTGTGGAGTCTCCCTGGAGGCGAGGCGGGGCCGCACCTTCTCGTCCTTTCCCCGGCTCCCAACTCCCCCCAGGGGTGGGGCTGCGACTTCCTTCCCGCTCGGAGGACAAGCGGGTCCGGGAAATTCCCGGGCCCGGGGCTGCGAGCTTTCAGCCCCGATCATGGATAAAAGGGGTTCGCCCGCCTCGAGGAGCCACAGATCTCGCTCCACCAGCTCTCCCGCCAGCTCTCGCGCTCCAGGCACCGTCGCCCCGAACCTCCGAGCTGAGCCCCATGGCCCGCACCGCGACCGTCGCCGCCCCCCGCGCCCCCCGGCTGCTCCGGGCCACGCTGCTGCTCCTGCTCCTGGTCGCCGCCTGCCGGCACGCTGCAGGTGAGACTCGGAACCCAAGGGCGGGACAGGGACGATGGGGGGGCGCCCACTGGGGGAACAGTCCCACCAACCGAGTCTGTTGTCCCCGCAGGGGCGCCCGTGGCCAGGGAACTGCGCTGCCAGTGCTTGCAGACCAAGCAGGGAGTTCATCTCAAGAACGTCCAGAGCGTGGAGGTGACGTCCTCAGGACCCCACTGCCCCCAGATCGAAGTCATGTAAGTGCCACCACTCGCTGCTGCTGCTACTGCGGTCCTTGTCACCTCCATTGTCCAGATGCCCTCACCCTGACCCTCAGCCCGCCCTCCTGTCTCACGTGGCTTCTCCCTTCTGTCTGCAGAGCCACTCTCAAGAATGGACATCAAGTTTGTCTCAACCCAGCAGCGCCCCAGGTTAAGAAAATCGTGGACAAGCTGCTAAACAAGTGAGTTATGTGGCTAGAGTCCTTTGTGACAGATACTGGTGTCCATCTTGTGCAAATTACATCAAGGAAACCCAGAGTTTAGCTGAAGAAGTGAAAATTATTATTTAACAATTAAAATTGCCACCCAGGTCATGAATGTGTGCTAGTGCCACAGGATATTTTCCCTGCTCTTCATACCCTTTCCAATGAGTGTAGCTAAGTATCTTTCTAAAAGGTTAAGTAGATTTAGGCAATGATGCTAAAATGTCTCTTACCCATTAAGGAACATTGTTCACCTTAGTCCCTCATTGGATTTAGACCTGAAAAGTGGAACCCCTGGTTTGGGACAACATGGGCCTGGAGAGTAAAATGGTGAAGAGCAGAGTCTTTGCAGCAAGACCACCCTAAAGTCAAGTCTAAGATCCATTGGAAAGTTGTTTATCCCTTTGAGCAAAAAAAAAAAAATTAGTACATAATAGTAGCTATTTCATGCATTGTACTTTAATTAAGTGAGGTTATATGCATGCAAATTTTTAGCCCAGTATGACATAACTGAGTGCACAGTCCTGCTTTTCTCAGTAAAAGAGCAAGCTATCTGCTGTGCCCTGTAGAAGGCACCGTGGGTGCAAAGTTGTGTTAGGGTCTGCACGCAGAACTTCCTCCAGCTTCAGAGGCAATGTGAGAGAAGGGCAGCTTTCTGTAACACCTGTAACAATAACCCTTTTCTCGCCTTAGGGGTAGCACCAACTGACCTAAAGAGAAGAAGCTCTTGGTGGCCGTTCCTGAAAGGAGGTCCCTGCTCTTACAGGACTGAAAATGAAGAAAACCGCTGGCTTCAGGCGACAACTAGAAAGATTACTTTGTTTGACTGTTGTTGGTTTTATTTTTATATCAGAGATCTATTTATTTATATATGTATTTATTTTTCAAAGCTTGTATCTCAACATTTTACATGTTAGTATTTAAAGGTATGAATGTGTTTAATCAAACATAACTCAGTACTGATTGTTATTAAATTAGAAGATTGTGGGTTTAAATGCCTCTTTAAATTAATATGTATTGGGAGACTGACCATTAAATATTAGGTGCTGTGATAGAGGTAGAGGGAGATGTATGATGAGATGGGGGGAATCTAAGCAATTAATGAAATCATTATTATGGTCAGGGAAGTGTGTGCACATCTATTTTTTGTACTTGTTTAAGACTGTCACTTGTTATTTATTTAAACTATGTCACATTAGATGGTCAACATTTTGATGTTGAAGATTCCCTTGGACATTTTATGTCTTTCTTGTAAGGCATAATGCCTTGTTTAATGTTCATTATGCAGTGTTTCTTTGTCTTAGAAGAGACAAGTTAAAACTACTGTTACATTTTTACAAATGACATGAAAATAAAAGTTTTGCAATATATAACATGTTTAGATTTTGTTTTATTCTTCTTGATCTTTGGTTCCCTGCTGGATGCCCAGGGTGTTGTACAGGTAGATTGCAGATCATGCCTGACTTTAAGCCTACTCCTCCTGCCTGTCCCTTCATTTACAGTTCTCCTACTCATGAGGAATATTTCATACTCCCCACCCACCTTGAGAAGCCTAGTTTTACATTAAATATGGCTGTTTTTCATAATGAACAATTCATTATTCAAAATTAGTTATTTATAAACTTCTGAGTGTTTATAATTATTTTAACAAGGGCTCCTATTAAATGATTGTTGAGCATTGTCCCATGGACTATGAAGTCCTGGTCCGATTTCTGGTCAGGGCACATGCCCAAGTTTTGGGCTCCATCCCTGGTTGGGGGCATGCAGAAGGCAGCTGATTGATGTTTTCCTCTCACATTGATGTTTATATCTCTCTCTCTTAAAAATTCAGTAAAAACATATTTAATGCTTTTGGTAAGTGGTTTTTTAAACAATTATATAATTTTTTCCTTTTTAATGAGGCTGGGAGCAAAAGGTGGAAAAGTGGATTCCTCCTATGTGCTCAAACAACTTGTGTTATTTACAACAACAATAATAATTATGACCTATGAAGATAAATTTAGACTGTAAAGTGAAATATATGACAAAAATAGCACAAAGGATAGGTAGGGAGATAGGTTTAGAATGTATTTCTTCAATTGTTAGAGAAAAAGTGGTTGAGCATTGATCCATGCACCAAGAAGTCACCGGTTCGAATCCTGGTCAGGGCACATGCCCAGGTTGTGGGCCTGATCCCCAGTGTGGGGCATGGAGGAGGTGGCCGGCCAATCAATGTTCTCTCTCATCGATGTTTCTCTCTCTCTCTCCCTCTCCGTTCCTCTCTCTCTAAAATCAATAAAGAAAAAAATTTAAAAGAAAATACCTGAATATTACAAAAGGTGACAGAAGTAAATAAAAAGCACAACCACAGACAAATCTTTCTTGAAGGAGCTTAACACATAATGTAAGTAGAGTGTCTCTCCTCCTGAAGGTGGAGCTTATTGCCTTCCTCCTGTGAGTGTGGGCCAGGCTTTGTGATTTATTTCCAAAGAAGAGATTAGGGAAAATGAAAAACAGTAATGTTACATTGGAGAATTTGGCAGATACCACCTAACCATGTGATCAAGGTTATTATCACTGGTTGTGTTATGTGAATATTCCCCCACATGATGTGAAGAGGAGAGCACTTCACCTCCATGATAGTCTTCCCCGAACCCATAACCCCAGTATGATCATGAGAAAATCATCATAAAAACCCAAACTGAGGAACATTCTTCAAAATACCTAGCAAGTATTCTTCAAAACTGTCAAAGTCATGAAAAATAAGACAATACTGAGAATCTGTCATGGATCAGAGGAGACAAAGGAGACATGATGACTAAATCCAATGTGGCATACTGAATTGGATCCTGGAATAGAAAAAGGATGTTAATAGAAAATTGGTGAAATCTTAGTAAGAGACAAGAATTTAGTTAATAACAATGTACCAATGTTAATCACTTAGTTTTGATAAATGTATTATAATTATATATTATACATTTTTCATAAATCTAAAATTATTCCAAATTAAAAGTTTATTTTTTAAAAAAGATACGACAAATAGAACAGCAAGATAGTAGACTGAAATCCAACCATATTAAGAATTAAAGTAAATTTAATGGAACAAACATTCCAATTAAAATTCCAAATTTTTGACATTTTAAATATAGGCTATATAAATAACACAAAAAACAATGTTGCATAAAAAGGACACAGTTTAAATATTAGAACCCAGACAACTTGAAATGAAAACAATTGAGTGTTATATTATGCTAAAACTAACTGGAAAAAAACTGGCATGGATAGATTAATGTGTTAATTATGTGTAAATAATTAATCTAGTATTAATATAAATTATTAATATATTGGCTAATTTATATATTATTTAAAGTCTGATTAATATATTGAGACATATGGAAAGAAATCGTCTTAGAGATGAAGAAGACTGATTCAAAACAAAAGGGCAATTTTATAAGGAACAAACAATTCTATGATTTTATGAACCTAATTAACATTTATCAAAATATATAAAGCAAATGGAGAGCAACTAAAAGGAGCAATAGATGAAACCATAATCATAGTTAAAGAGTCCAACAAACCTTAAATACTTACTAGGCAAAGCAATAAACATTAACAGTATAGAAGAGTTAAGCAACATTTTTATCCAACTAGCCTGAGTGATGTATATAAGACGCTTCACCCAACAATTGTATAGCTCACATTTGTTTTTCCAATACAAAGGGAACTTTTTATAAAGCAGATATATAGGAACCATAAAGAATGTATTGACAAGTTTCAAAACTTTGAAATGTTACCTGATCATCATGTTTTCTATGATTTGCAAGTTTTCCAAACTGAAATATATATCCATATTTTTCTGTGTGTGATATGTTCGCTGTGCTTTAATAACTCACCTCTCAACTTCCCAAATTTTGCTTTTATTAGACAGGAAGCATCAAAACAGGATCATCATACCGTTTTCATGCCTGTTATAACCAAGTGTGATAAAGACTATTTCCATAAAGACATTTCTTCATTTCTTATATTTATTTCTTGACATTCTTTTGTAATTTTGGCCTTCCTCTTTTCTTTGGTTAGTATGTTATATAATACAATTACTCATTTTACTTCCACAAACGTTTAAAAAACAATCTTAAGAAAATGGAAATACAAAGTTTATACTGAAATCTATTCTTTTAAAAGCCTTGGAATAATGCCCAAATCTAATATATTGAATGGTGCTCAGAGCTAACTGAAACCAATTTAAGCAATTCTAGATGGGAATCATCAGGATGGAAAGACTAGCTGTGATTCCTATTACTGTTTTTGTGCTTGGACTAAACTAGAAACTGTGGACCCTCTGGGCCCAACGCAACCTTCCCTCCCCCCAACAGCTCAAAAATGACCACCAGCCCCTATTTTATGGATTCATCAACGCCCTCTACACCCAAGAGGCGGTAATCATGCATTACGAAATCTCTGGAAGTTCCAGAATTTCAGAGGAAGGAAACTGTATAGGATTAGAACACTTTGTCCTAGATTAAACACCGAATTAAACTTTTGACTCTGGTCATCACCTCAACCCTGAAATGACACAAAGTGTGATTTATTTGTGCTTGTAAAACACCAGAAACAAGGTGAAAACTCTGATGTATGAGTTTAGGTACAATCTGAGATGACGGATGTGTTTTAAGAGAGTATTTATGGAGAAGAAAATAAAATCATCAAGCCAGAAGATACTGATGTGGACACAACAAATGGAAAATTCTGTTCCCCCCTACACACACACACACACACACACACACACCTCGACGCACCACAATCCCCTCCGTCCTGAGAGCTAACCTCCTCCTGGCGCCTGTCTCCGCTAATAAGTGACACCTCTTGGGAGGCGACTCACTTCCGCTTTGCGGATTTGGGCGCCAAGAGAAAACCGCTGAGGCTGCGGAGACGCGCTGGAGGGTGGCCGGAGCCCCACAAACAGCCCCCCTCCCCCCAACACAACCCTGTTCCGCCGGGGCGGGGCCGCGCCTTCCTTCCCGACCCGAGAACGGCCTGCGACTCCTGGAATTTCCCGGGCCCGGGGCTGCGAGCTTTCAGCCCCGATCATGGATAAAAGGGGTTCGCCCGTCTCGAGGAGCCACAGATCTCGCTCCACCAGCTCTCCCGCCAGCTCTCGCGCTCCAGGCACCGTCGCCCCGAACCTCCGAGCTGAGCCCCATGGCCCGCACCGCGACCGTCGCCGCCCCCCGCGCCCCCCGGCTGCTCCGGGCCACGCTGCTGCTCCTGCTCCTGGTCGCCGCCTGCCGGCACGCTGCAGGTGAGACTCGGAACCCAAGGGCGGGACAGGGACGATGGGGGGGCGCCCACTGGGGGAACAGTCCCACCAACCGAGTCTGTTGTCCCCGCAGGGGCGCCCGTGGCCAGGGAACTGCGCTGCCAGTGCTTGCAGACCAAGCAGGGAGTTCATCTCAAGAACGTCCAGAGTGTGGAGGTGACGTCCTCAGGACCCCACTGCCCCCAAATCGAAGTCATGTAAGTGCCACCACTCGCTGCTGCTGCTACTGCGGTCCTTGTCACCTCCATTGTCCAGATGCCCTCACCTTGACCCTCAGCCCGCCCTCCTGTCTCACGTGGCTTCTCCCTTCTGTCTGCAGAGCCACTCTCAAGAATGGACATCAAGTTTGTCTCAACCCAGCAGCGCCCCAGGTTAAGAAAATCGTGGACAAGCTGCTAAACAAGTGAGTTATGTGGCTAGTCCTTTGTGACAGATACTGGCATCGCCTCTTGAAATTTATATCAGGGAAACCCAGAGTTTAGCTGAAGGAGTGAAAAATCATTATTTCACAATTAAATTTGTCATTGAGATTATAAATGTGCTCAGGTGAGGAAGGATATTAACTGTACCGTCCGCCACCATCCTTCTCTCCATCCCCATTCAAATGAGTGTGGGTGAATGTTTCTTCCTAAAAAATTAGGTGGATTTGGCCAATGATCTGAAATGCTTCCTGACCAATAAGGAACACTCACTGTTTGTCTTAGTGGCTTTAGACCTGAAAAGTGGAACCCCTTGTTTTGGGCAACACAGGCCTCTAAGTCTTAGTGATGAAGAGAAGGGACTTTGCAGTCATTTCAAATGTAAGTCTAGGCTCCTCCACCTTTTATTATTCTTGTAACTGGGAGAAAGTATTTACTCTCTCTGAGTCTCAGCAATACGGGGAAAATAATAAATAGCTACTTCATGGGGTTTGCTATGAGACTTAAGTGATGTCATGCATATACTTTCTTAGTGTGATATTAGTTTCTGGCTTTTTAAAGCTAATAATAAAATTGTGACCACAAGCCCCTAATTCCTAATTAAGCAGCATCCAGGAGTCAGGCATTTTCTGCCACACAGCACAGCAAGGGTACAGGTAGTAACCACTTGGTGCAATCAAGTTTCTGAGTCCTAATATGCAACAATTTTCTCTTCACAGGGGCAACGCCAACTAACCTAGAGAGAAGGAGGAAGCTTAATAGGCTATTGCTGCATCCTTAGTGGAACTGGAGCAAAAGAAGAGAAACAAAGAGCTCCTGGACCTGCCTATATTGTGTTTAATGTGTTTGACTATTACTTATGAGAGTTTTTCTATTTATTTACATGTGAATTTATTTATTTATTTTTCAAAGCTTGTATATTAGTTAACATTCTATCTAATATTTAAAGATATTAAAGTGTTTGGTAATTTGCTGTACTGTTATTTTAAAGGGTATGTTTGTGTTAAATCAAAGTTAGTTAAGCCCTATTATTTAATAGCAGATGATGCATTTTAAATGTTCTTCATTCAACTAATATTTTTGGTTGTCAAGGTGGGTGGGAAACCACACCTTTCCATCCATTATAATAAAGGATGAAGATAAATAGGGGGGGATTCGAGCAAATATAGGTCACTATTAAAGCAGGGAAATGTTATGTATACATCTATTTTTGTACTGTTGAGAAGAATGTCAGTTGTTATTTATTGAAATTATTTCACAGCATGTGGTCAATATTTCTGATATTGAATTGAACTAATGTTCTAAATACCCCTTGGACATTTTATGTCTTCCTTGTAAGGCATAATGCCTTAGTATCAGTTATGCATTGTTTCTCTATATTTTGGAATAGAGAATTTAAATATTTATAGATGTATTTTTACAAATAAGATGAAAATAAAGCTTTTTACAAAAAGTTCTTGCTTTGGTTTGTTTTAACTGTAAATTTGTAATAAACTGTATTTCACACCCACGAAACGGCTGCCATTAGTTGACATTTTTCTTAGTTTCGCTCCTGTTCATGAAAGCATATTTAATACATTTTCAAAGTCTTTGCAGGCCCTCCTTAAGAATACACAAACTTCAGACAGGGCAGGAGGGGAGGGAAGAGATAAACCAAATAACTTATGCATAGAAGCATAACCAATGGACATAGACAACAATGCTGGGGTGGGGGTGGTGGGAACAGGAGGAGGGTGTCAATGGGGGAAAAAGGAGAAACATTTGTAACAAAACTAAATTAATTAAATAAAAAATAAAAGAGAACACATAAAAGATTAATTTTATTTTATAATCAATCTGTTACTTAATTTTAGCTGTTTAAAATATTTCAAATGTTTGTACATATTTTGTAAACGTTCTCATTAAAATTATGATAAATGATTTTTCGAACAATTAGACATTTGTTTCCCTCTTCATGGAGCTGGAAGTTAAATTGTAAAGTGGATTGGTAGTAGGCAGTTAGATTTGCATAAGCAGAGCCGGAACAATGAGCCAGGTGTAGAGGGTCACCAGGGTGAAAGCCCCAGGTGCTTTGCAATGGACAAAACTATAATCCCTTGCTTGACCACTCCCTTAAGTATTCACGCCTGGAGATAACATCTAGGCCTCAGCTGTGTTTCAGCCCCAGGCCCAGAAAACCGGTAAGGCCAGGCAGGGCCAGGCCATGGCTGACATCAGTTTTACCTGTTTCTAGGTAGCTGGGGCTTTCCACCCTGGTGATCTTGAGTACCTGGCCTATGTTCCTAGTCTGCCTGTGTAACTGCCTACTACAAGGCTGCGAACTGCCTGCCTGTACTATGTTTCTGCCACCTGAGCCAGCCCTTATAAAGAAATTCCTGGAATTGTATTTCAACCAACAGGACTGACTTTTCTTGTTCAATCAGAGCTGTGCAGCTAAATCCCAATCAGAATATTCATCAACCAATTGGAGTAGCTCTATTATGACCAATCAGGACAATGCTTCTTAGACCATTCAAACCCTGAGGATTTGGAGACTTTATTTGCATGAGGGTGAACCAATCAGGGACCAGTGGTGAAGATGTCTATTAAAATTAGTTAGGTCCCCTATAGCTCCAAAAACACACTTTTCCTTTCCACTGAAAACAGAAGATTGCTTTTGCCTTGATAGAGAGCAGCAGGTCAGCACCAAAGTGGAGCGGGAGGAGCAGAGTGGAGCTGTGCAGCTGACAGGGGCCCCAGCTCCAGGCGATCTCAGCCCCAGGGCCTCCTCACAATCATGCTGTGCTGCTTCATAACTGAGCTGTGACACCATGGAGCTGTTCCATAGCTGGAGCTGTTCCCAGCCGAGCTAGTCTCAGCCCTGCTGTATCACAGCTGAGCTGTTTGCACTGAATACATTTTCCTTCTTCACCACAGACCATGGCCTTTTGTTAGCAAATGCTGTCTCTCAAAGTATTTACATGTCAAAAAAGATAAAGCCACAGAATTTAGAAACATCTATAGACCATAAAAGTAGATACTGGCTCTTGGAGAGATTAATTTACATACCAAAGGCTTGGTGTTTCCAAGGAGATCCTTTCAGGAGGGGACTATGGAAAGAAATTCTCCTTCCTTCTCCTTTATAAGCAGAGAACCCCCCACCCCACACACACCCCATGGAGTGTCTAGCTATGGGACTAGGATAGTTGATGTGTCTTTTATTGCATTACCCCAAGGGTAAGGCCTGAGGCAAGCAGGAAGTGACACATTCACTGTGAGGTAATTAATAAGAAATCTGTCTTTGGTCCAGACACTTCTTGTGTGTATTCAGGATAAAATTTTAAAATACAAATACTAAAAACTTAACATAGGTTTTATTAACTTGGTGAATAAAGGGTGAAAGTGATAGAGTTATTCATAGGGTGATTAAGAACATAAATTATGAAGAATTAGATCTGGGAGTAGTTTTTAGTTCTAACACCAACTAACTATATAATTTGAGGTTATGTTCTGTATATTAATTTAAACTTCATTTCTTCTTTTGCTATCATCATAATTAGTTTGTTAGTACTACTAATTGGAAGAGAGCAAACGAGAGACCAGACATTATACTCATGGTCATCTGGGCAGTTTCACCAGGAAGCTATGTAAAGGACAAACACATGACCTTGCCCCCTGGATTTTAAGGGAATGGCAAGAACTATCTGCTAATAGATAACCACTGCATTGTATAGATAACCATTGCCTGGTGTACACAGAAACTGATTGTTCCCTCAGGCATAACAGCTAACTGCAAATATCTGCTTCTGTACATGCTTGTTTGCTCACATCCCTTAACCCAAATTCCTTAATGGGGGCTAAGACAACTGTATAAGCAACCCACCCCCTGAGCTCGGGGCTGCTCTCTCCTCTGCATAGGATGGAACAGTTGCTGTGCGGCTAACAAAGCTCTCTTAATTTGAACCCAGTTCGGAGTCTGAGTCTGGTCTGTCTCGTTGGTCTACAACATTTGGAGGCCCCAGTGAGATAGACAAACAAGGTCCCCGACATTGGTGGGTTGACCTCCTCAGACTCCGGGAGACAGGTCCATCCCAGGAGTGGACAGGTGGTCTACGGGAAGGCCTCAGAGAAGACGTTCCTCTGCCCCAGACGCCGTTCTGCCCTGGAATTGTCTCTACTCCAAAATTCCATCTAGAGAGCATCTGGAAACCCTGGGCCCAGGTTCGGTTCAGCAGATGGGACGACCCTCGGTAAGTCTGTTTCTGAAAACTCTGCAGAGTAAGGGGAAGTGGATCTGCTGGATGCAGCACATAGATTCGGCCCCAGGGCCATAGCGAGACATAGCTTTTGGCCCCGGTTCAGTTTGTCAGGTTTTTTTGTCTGTCTTATTTGTTTGTCCTTTTGTGATTTGTGTTTTGCTGTGCTGGCCTGTGTCCTTCAAAATGGGTCAGGGACCTTCAGGGCCTAGGACCCCCCTTCAATGTCTCCTTGATTACTTCTCAGACTTTTCCAAGCGTGCCTCAGGTTACAGCATCTCAGCAGACCCTGAATTCTTGCGCACTTTGTGCGAATTGGAGTGGCCTACTTTCCAGGTCAATTGGCCCTCCCAGGGCACTTTTGACTTAAGCTATTTGTTTGCAGTTTGAGATGTCATCTACAGGACTCCCAGACACCCAGACCAAACTCCTTACATTGATGTTTGGATTGACATAGCTACTAACAAGCCTAATTATATTAAGAAATGTTTGTGCCCTAATAGGGAGAAGATTTTAATTGCCCAGCTTCCGCGGAAGCCTCAGAAGCCCTCGGCTCCTGCTCCCTCCCAAAGGCTTTACCCTGTTCTTTCAGGTCCCCCAGAAAGTCCCCTCACTGACCCTGTGGGGCCACCCCCTTATCGGCCACCACCACCTGCCGCCATTGCTTGAGAGGCTGAAGCCCTTCGGCCACTCAGTCCTTCCCATACACGTGGTGGCAGCCCTTCTAACCTTCCTCCGCAGGCACCAGACTCCTCGGCTGCCATCCTGCCCCTCCGTCAGGTTGCTCCACCACCGAGTGGAGACCAGGGTTTTTGTACCCTTCTCAACTAACAATCTGTATAATTAAACCCAAGGTTTAATCTCTCTCCTAGAGACAGTCTTCCACACCTATCAGCCCACTTGGGATGACTGTCAGCAATTGTTGCAGGTCTTGTTCACCTCCAAGGAGAGGAACAGGATCCACAGAGAGGCAGAAAAATCTGTCCTCGAGCCAGACAGCCAACCCCTCACAGATCCGGCCCAAATAGGAGCCTACCACCCAACTACCCGACCCAATTGGGACCCTAACACTGATCAAGGTAAAGAGGCTTTAACCCAGTATCGCCGATCTCTACTCCAGGGCCTCTGCGGAGCTGCCAAAAAGCCAACTAATCTGTCTAAGGTAAGCGAGACTGTTCAAACCACAGGGAAATCCCCAGCGGTTTTTTTTGAACGTCTCATGGAGGCTTATCGTCTCTTTACTCCCATAAACCCAGAGGCCCCTGAGAATAGATGGGCAATTAATATTGCTTTTGTCACCCAGTCGGCCCCAGACATTAGGAAGAAACTCCAGAAATTAGAGGGTTTTGAAGGAAAGAATCTTAGTGAGTTAGTTGAAATGGCTCAGAGAGTATTTAACAACCGGGACGACCCAGAAACAGCCAATAATAAAAAAGTCCCAAGAGTAATCATAGCCACTCTTCAAGAGAATCAAAAAGGGCAACGGGGAAATAGGCCTAAAAGCACAGGGCCAACCCCATGGAGACCTAGGCAACGATCTCGGCCACTTCTTGACCTTAATCAATGTGTC